TGTTCACCGGTCCAACGTCCGAGGTCGGGGAGACGGCGGTGGACGGAAGCCGGCCGTTGGTTTGGTCTTCTTGCTCCTAGTAGTGAGGCCTAGTAGCGTCCTTGCTACTAGTAGCGAGGCCAGGAGCCCCTAGTAGCTTCTTGTTCCTAGTAGTTGCGGAACTGGTGGCAGATCTGAAGAGAGAACTACGATAACTCAGATCACTGAGAAACACGATCACTGAGACTCAAACAAGTCTCACAACGAACAAGAAGGCAGTGGGCCTGTAAAGCCTTTGCAAGGACCTTTCGGAGAGCATCCACAAAAAGGCACGTGTGTCCCACGTGTCAGACGTGTCTGCAACCTCCACTGTGCGAGTTGCGCGCCTGCATCTTTGGCATCCTCAGGTGGCAAAAGGATGGATATGCACACGGGGTTGGGGGGAGGGCTCCAAAGTGGGAGAAACACCGTGGACATGGGTCGCCCCATGGGTGGACTCTATGTGTGCAAAGTCGATGTTGCTCTTGACAAAAACACGGGCAAAATGAGGGAAAGCGTAATTCTGCCGACAGGAACCTTCGAACAAATCATCTCACCTGCATCTCGGCATCTAGACCAAATATGTTCGACAAAACTGGTCTGTGATAAAACTGTTCAAAAAGGAAGACCTCCCAAAAACCCCATGGAAGAAGGGAAACAGACTGAAACCCATTGTCTATTAAAGCACAAACCTTCTTCGCCGTTGAAAAGGGCGCAGCTCTCAGGGCCCGGCACTTTGGCAAAGCAGCAGCGTGGGGAATCTTGGAGACGGCGTAAAAAGAGAAGACATGGGGAAGGCAGGCACCCACAGCGGTCTTCTTGCCCGTAACTTACAAAGGCTAGCCCTCCAAAACAGCCCTCTGGGACAATCAGGCGCAGAACAGTAGCACAGGATTGCCAAGTCTTCGACTGAGCAAGTGTTTCCTCTTGGTTTGCTGAAGTTTCTGGACTCACGTCATTGAGCGCAAACCGCTTACCGCGGGGAATGCGATGATCATAACTTCGGACTTGGCAAACGGCTGCAAGCCCTGAAGCAAACTAGACCTGGACCACTGGAGGCCATCGCAAGTAGGTTGGAGGCCATCGCTTCTAGTCTAGTCTACTCTAGTCTAGTCTAGTAGGTTGGAGGCCATCGGTTTTATGTAATCTTTCCAAAAATGGATGTTCACATATGTCCACACAGAAAAAACTGCTGTGTTCTACACAGACTTCGGGTTGCCCGGACTCTCGGACTGGTGGTAGCTGCGGATGCCTGACACGTCGGCCGGTTCTAGAGGCTACTTCAACTACAATTGAAAGGCTTCTGGGCGTCCTCCATGGTCGGCGTCATCTTTGTTTCGGGGTGATTCTCAGCTTGAAACTGTTGGAATCCGGTATCTCCCAGTGGCGACCACTTCGTGGCCGTGGCGAATTTGGTACTTCCAGTCTTCATCCGAGAAGTCAGTGATGGTGACACTCTTCCTCCACTCACCACGAAAAACGAGGTGTGGCTCTACATGTTCTACCCGCGCCTCTGAAAAACAAGCGTGAGTGAATCACAAGGGACACACGAGTCCTTCCTTCCAAGAAGAACAAACACACGGAAGGACGGAAGAACGGCACAAGTCTTGAGCTCTCGTTGGGTTGATAGGGTCATGTGCACATGACGGATGATGAAAATTGTGTGACCTTCCTTCGCCACAGAATTCCGTGGCCCTCAAGCTTTGTAGGAAATTGATTGGGGGCACTCATGGAATTTCCCCAAAGCACCATCGGACATGTGTTGCTCTTCCAAGACATGTCTGGCATGCTCATTCTGCATGGCATCCATCTGCGCCAATGTTAGGACCTGGCAGTTCCGCGGGAGCCAGGTCAGAACGAGAGAGGGATTGCGCATGGTGAAACTACTCGTTCTTTAGGGGCTAATGTTGGCTGCATTGATGTCTCCCTAAAGCGAGCCTTCAACCTGCAAGACCGCAGCAAGGAGTACAGCATGACAAATAATTTATGGGTGACTCGGTCACCATTGCACCAAATGTTGCACTTTCATACTTTAAGAATGTCACCAATGATGTTCAACTGATGTTCGAGCATTCTGCATATGATCTCGGCAGTTCAGGCAGACTTCGAGAATCTCCTAGGTTTGGCAACCTGATTCTGAATTCGATAGTTGGCCAAATTCCACTATCGTGACCCACCTGAACGTTGAAGGAAGATAAGGAAGAGTAGCAGTATTTCAAGAACATCGCGGAACCAAACCATATCCATCCAATTCATTCTAATCGTTCCGACAGCGTGACCTTTCCACTTGCTTCAACACATCAACCTTTCGACTCCCCTCGACGGGTCCTTGGGGCTTCGGCCATCTTTGGGGCCTCACAGGTGGCGACGCGACGCGACCGGTCTTCACCGACACAGCTGCTCGGTCTTCCGTACCCATTCTCCTTGTGGTTGGGTACCCAAGTCACAGCTGTTCTCATTCTCGTTGTGGTTATCTCTCGAAACAATGCCAACTGTCTGACGTTACAGAGTTGAATGGAAGGTCTGGACTTCAAATTCTTGGGGAAGCTTCCTCAACATGCCGAAGAGTGGTTCCTGGCATGCACCCCGTCCCATGGAGAACTGCCAAGCAAATGCTATCAAATGCTTTCCACTTAGGCACTTACCACATGCTCATCTATACCTGCTAATTATGTATGTTCTCCTTGCATCTTGTAACGAAGCGTTCCTAGTTTCCTACCAGCCTTCTGGTTTACCCAGGCAAGTCTCCCTGCAACATGAAGTTTGCCTGTAGCTGCTTGGATCGCAGAGGTGAGTTGCTCCCAGATCCAGAAGAAGTGCTGCCTCGGAGGGCTTCAAACGGCTGTGACATCGCCTGTGCCACAAACGTTTGGAAGGTTTGGGTAGCAAACAAGAATGGATCCCTGCATGGCCCTGCTGTCCATTCCACAATAGGCAGTGGTTGGAACAAAGTTGCAGCATCAGGGGACTGCAGTCACCTTTTTTGCGGGCCGGGCTATACCAATGTATCTGAAGGGTAACCAATTAAGATATATTAAGATTGATTATATTGATTGCTTGCTTGCTTGATCGATCGATTGATTTGATAAACCTTGACTGACCGTCAGTGGCACCCTTGTGTTGGTCTCAGTGCTCTCACGTATGCAGCAATGCACTATATAGGGTGATCTACATACGTGCAGCACATCGAGAAATCCATGAACGATCGTGTCCACGGGGAACGAACAGGACTGAGACCCATGCCACACAGGACTGAGACCATCCAATCTCTTCTTGACAGCTTTCGACGCCAACAAGAAGGCTCGCCACCCTCAATGGTCAAGATACGAATAGCTACAGAAGGGCGCATAGAGGAGGAGGAGGACCTCGCGAGGATTTGACAGGTCACTGCTACGAGTACAAAGTGATTCAGTGACTATGTTTGAGGGTTTATTGGTGGTAAGGGGCTCTCTGCCCAGGTCCATGCTAAGCCTATCCAGGATCAAAACCAGGAGGGGCAATCAGAGGGAGCATCCCACGTAGAAGGCAAAACACATTTAGTAAATTCATTGATGCAAGTCAAATCCACCAGCCCAGTGAAGGCAAAGAAAAAAGAATCGTCCAGGCCTTCGTCCCGTCCCTCCCTTCGTCCCGCCTCTGTGTGGTTCTCTTGAACTGGCCGCAACAACTCTAGCTCCACTGAGGTCCCATAAAGCTCTTTCACCTAGGAAAACGCCGAGAAAGAGCCTCTCTCTTCGCAAAAGTGGAGCTGGTTGTGTCCGAAAAGTGGAGCTGGTTGCATGTCCAAAAGGACTTCAAGTACCCTCATACTAAATGACTCTAGATCCCCATAGATATAGACTTGGACATGGAGTGGCTTTTCTTTAGCATCTGTCTTCTTCCAGTCAGGAGCAAGAAGCTACTAGGAACAAAGGGCATCGCTATTAGGAGCAAGGAGGCTACTAGGGGCTCCTGGCCTTACTAGGAACAAAGGGCATGGAAAGGAAATGGTGTCCAGTTCGTGCCACATCGACCAAAGACCGAGTCCTCTAAGCTCCCCAACCCCAGGGCGTTCGAGCTCCTCAGAGCTTGGCCTGGTGGAACACCGTTGGAGACGCAGTTCCCAAAACGCGTCCGAAAGCTGCGGATCGGTCCATAAAATCCCCTGCCTGTGGTTCACTCATGTCATGTTCACTCGCATTCCTAAATCAGCAATATATAATTGATACTATAGTAACTATAGTTGATTGTAGTTATATCCAGCGTCCAGGAGCATCAATTGTTTGAAGACCTTTCTGAAAACATGTGAAGTAGTGAAGGCTTCGCTTGAATTCTGCCCGAATCAGCGGAGTTAGTCTCACACCACGTTTTTCGTCGCATGAAAACAGGTGACGAGAAAACCACAGTGCCACGTCAGCAGAGTCGTGAGGCTTATAAGCCCTAAAGGCACCTCTTCATTGATCGCACATAGGGTGAGACTTTCCCATCCTCAGTCGTTCGATCAACTCCTTTCGACTCACAAGTCGTTGGGCCGATTGCTAAGCGAGGCCACGGCACCACACCTCCACCACGGAAACATGTTGGTGAATCGGAGGGTAGTCCGGACAAAGATCGGCGAGAACGGTGAAGAGTCACCTTCTTTGGGGGTTCTGTGCGATACCAAAATGTAAAGAATATTGGTCAATCAAACTTCTGGATCTCCATGTTCAGCGATAGCGATCTGCAAAACTCGCAGAAGTTGAGAAGTTAGGTTTCCATCATCAGCACTCTCGCTCTTGGGTTAGGCCACCATCATCGCAGGCCCTTGGAAGAAGCAGGGGTGTTTCCTCACACGCGCGCCAAAGAATCACCCTGCTTGAGCCACTCAGGAGCAACCCCAACCTAGGATCTTTAGCGCGCTGGTCCACCGCAGCATTTCGTCTGTATGTGGCCCCCAACCCTTGCGGCTGGACCTGGGAATCCCAACCAAGACAGCATCTGTGAAGAGACACAAGGCCAGCTCGTCACCAGGACACCAGCCTGCTGAGTTCAAGAGTCACCAGCATTCTGAGTTCAGTGTTGCTAGACTTGGAACTAGAAAAGTCTTTTTGAGTTCTAGTTCAAAGTCTTTACCACGGCTGGACATCCAAGTCTTGCATTCTATGTCCAGAATGTGGTCAAGAAACCCAGACTGGAACTAGAACAAAACATCTCGACGTGATCAAACACACTGGTGCATCTTTTTTTCGACAAACATGGCTCCTCACTGAAGGCATCCCGAACCTGCCCCTCCGGGCGCTGGATACTTCCTCCGTGTTCGAGTGTTGAACAGCGAAGCCGCGAAGAGGTCCAGCTTCCCTCGAGAGGACCTCTCCTGGTGGGAACACCGGAAAGGGGTGATCACAGCCACGTGGACGACAGATCAGAAGTGCATGAAAATACAAGAAACAATGAAAATACGTGGAAGGAAGGCTGAACCTCCGCAATCAGTGCCAGACAAACGCCAAACAGAAGATTCAAGTGATTCAAGCAAATCCAATGGAGCAAGTGTCCATCTCATGACTCACGCCTTTTCATTCATGACTCCATGGTATTGACGCTTTCTTCAGTGTTGAAGTCGTGAAGGTTCCGAAATCGGTGCCAGTCGAACCGTCTCCCAAAGTCGAGCCTCCACCTCGTCCAATGCACTGCAATCGGACCTCGGAAAATATCAAAAGCCTTCAAGTGCAAAAGCTTCAAGTAAAGCCAATGTAGCCAATCTGCGTGTGATTCAGGGATATTCAGGTACAAAACCACAATGCCCCTCTCCCCTTAGGCTTCGATGGTGACCATCTCATCCGAACAGTCTTCCTCGGTCACCTGAACCAGTTCCTCAAGCCACAAATGCTTCCAGCTGCCACGTTCATCAAGTGTTTCACTCAGGATGCTCTTGCAACAGGTTCTGTAGCATCCTGAGTCCCACGCTGGGCGTCCCCTGCGAAAGCCGCACACAAGTTTGACTGAAAGGAATGAACCCCAAACCTTTGCACGTTCAAGCACCATCTCTATTCCTGGTGCAGCTCTCAAAAATTGGCTTTTTGCTCTGGATAGGGCACATGCTTCCTTTTGTCAATGCTTTCACCATGATGTCTTCCGTAGCTTTGGCCAGTCGCATACTTTCGCATCAACATCATCCCACCTACGTCTTCAGACCCAAAACGCACCGAAGACAGCCCAAAAACGCACCGTGGCGCCTTCCCGCCGGGGCAAGGGCAAGGCCGGGTCTTGCGCCGCCAAGCCAAAGGCCGCACGGAACGTGGCGATGTCCTGGCGCGGATCCGTCCGTCGAGTTCGTCCAAAGGGAAGCTGTGTTGGAAGAAAAGAGGCGGAAAGGTCAACCACTAAAAGTGAGAAGTACCAGTTTTAGCCTCTTGGTTTTTCGAAGTGGGGGTTTTATCTGGGTTCTGGATTCCACCGATTCACCTCAGCCCCGCCCCTCTTTTCCGTGGCCAAAGCGGCCAGCCCTGCGGTTTGCAACTCCCTGCAGAGGCGTGGCTCGTGGGCGCGGTGACGCGAGCCAACATCGCAGGCGGACAAACAGGAACCTGGGCGGAGAGGTCCCGCTACGTCCTATAAGGATAAGGATACTGTACATCAAATGGAATGCAGGTAATTCTTTCCAACCTCACCTGTATGGTTGGATTTCTTTGACTTGAAAGACCCAAATGGATGTGTCGAGCCAGGCCAAAAAGAATATACTTTTGGCCCAATGAGTTCTTCCTCCATCAGGGCAAGTTGTGGTGTCCCTGATTTCATTACAAACCCAACTACATAGAGGTGCAAATGGGCCCTTCTGGTTCCTCAGCATCCTCTTGTTTACTTCTGTTGGAGGGGTCAAACCGACCAGAACAGCCCGCACATCCAGTCTAAATGGAACCCAGAAAGACCCAAGTGTTCCGAGATGCCTCCAAGGCACCATAGGAAATGGCATTTGACTGCTCTTGATCCTCCAAATTCTTCAAAAGTCCAAGCGCTTGGGACCAATAGCTTAGCTTCTCACAGGCGTCGATCCTCAGGATTGGTCGGATTGGTCGCTTGCTCAAGTGGACTGCTTAGAGGATTAGAGCATGCAGCAATTGAGAAAGCCCGGTAATCACTTGGAATCACAAATCGCTGGGAGAAATGAAACAAATACTCACCAAGTAAAGCGGTCTTCTGGCAGGGAGGATGGATTGGAATCACGTCTACTCTCCAAGCTTCGCCAGATTCACCGTGAGTGCGCTTGCAGGTAGGCGCTGATCTGAGAAATGCTCTCGTAGGAGCACGGACTCGCGCCATTTACGCTGCCTAAGTCTAGCCATGGTTTGAGTTTCTGCGACAAAACCTGCGACCAAATCGAAATCACCCAAAACCTCGATTGCACCAATCAAAGTATCAGCGACACACACGTGAGTTTATGCACAATCCTGTTTGGTATGCGTGGGCAAATTCGACCCCATACTGTACGAGCTCCAGGACAAGGAACCTGGTGACTTTGTCTGCCACTGCCCCAAGTAGAACAAAAAGTCCTATCAAATTCACAAAAGCTGATCCCCAAATCTGATCCATATCCATCCCAAACCATACTCCTTTCGCCGCCGCTCTGGTCCGCGCTGCTTCACGCAGGCGGTGACCGCCAAGCTCTCCACGGGGGCCGCCGTAGGACCCGCGAAGAGCTCTGCTGGCTGGGGCCAGTCGCGGAGGAGCTGCAGCGTGGGACGCCACAAGGCTTCTACGTGGAAAGCTGCAAGGCCACAGGTGAGGAGAATCAGGTCATGGAGATGATGCAAATCACCTGCGAACGAGTTCCGGGGCCGGAAGCGGTAGCCGGTTCCTGCCCGGTTCATGCGACACGAAGTTTGACTGGAGCATCGGATCTGCTGGAATTCGCTGGCCCGCGGATCCAATGCAGCAGGTGCAACATGATAAAATGGATGTTGTTCAGCTCCAGGAGAGGCACCTCTCTCTGTCTGGAATGGTTTTATACACACCTTCCAGCGGGAAAGGGTTCTGTATCTGCCAGCATTGAGGGGCAAGAAAATGTGGGGTGACACGAGTGGGCTCTTTGAGAAATATGTCTGTGAATTGATCCAAGTCAATTTCCAACAAATAATGGAACAACAGAAATCCAAGATAGATGGAAAAGCTAAAAATATCAACAAAAAAGTGTTTTAAAAAATGACATGAAGAACTCCCAACCACACTAGACACTAGAATCGAGCTGCTGGTGCTGGTGTTTTCGGAAATCAAGGCAAGTTGATTTAAACATGTTTCAACATGTCTGTCTTTTTTGGGCGGACGCCCAGTATGACCGAGTACGAATCTCCAAATCCAAGGATGCAAAATCTTCTCCTAGCCTAAAAGCCACAATGAATGAGGCCAATGATTGGCCTTCTCACACGCACTGATCACCTAGGCACACGAAGACAGAGAGGTCCCATCAAAATCATCCCCCCGAGCAAGCTCACCAGTTGCCAGAACAACAACAAAGTGTGTTTCCCTCGGCCGCCACAGGGCTAACTGTTCAATCGTAGCGATGTTTCCTTGGCCTTCTCTTGAGCAGGTGGCTGCTCTGATCCCGTCATCTAAAGTTCCAAGTAAAATCATAAGGAATGTCGCATGGCCATAAATCATCCATGCATGCCACTGATCAGGGTCTTTATGACAACCCAGTGGCTGAATTGCAGGTCAGGTTCCCTGTTGACACGCCCTCTTGATGAAGTTGTTCAAGTGATCGCAGGGCTTGTAACCATTGGCCACACTCCTCCTGGGCACCTTGGTATGGTAGATTAGATCTCAAGACCTGAACGACTCCGTTTCTCCACAACAACTTGGCTCTCCCAGCTGGTACCTGGGAAATCAACAAATACCCATGAGCTCGGGTTGCGAGATGCACCAATTTCGGGCCCTGCTTTTTTCGATGGATCGTTAAAATTACATAAAGCTAGGAAGTTTATCAATAATGGTTTGCCCTACGGTAAGTTAATGAAATGTAGGCGCAGTCGCAGAAAAGATCAGGGCACAGAAATTAGACCAGTCCAGAATCACATGTCCTGTCTTGGTTCACAAAAACATCATCCAACATCATCAAACTCAGCATTGTGTCAAAAATCCAAACTGTGCTGACCCTCTTGCCTTCATTGCTCAGACCAAAAAAAAACATAGAACCCATCACCTCAAGCAACGATCATCGTTGCCACGGGCAACCACTGGATTGACCCACCTTTCCCCCTTACCATTCCCCACCTCTCGAAACAGCGATCCAAACGCTGCCGCGGCGCTCCAGCTGGAGTTGTAGCTAATCACGTTCGCCTCCGAACCAAGCTAGGAGCGATCGGACGCTACTAGGGGCTCCTGGCCTTACTAGGAGCGATCGGACGCTATTAGGAGCATTTCGGGCATCGCGACTCGAACGGAACGATCGGGACGCAAACCGAACGGGGCGAAACTGGCCGAGTCCCGAGTCCCAAACCGAAGACGAGGAGAGGCCCAGTCGCGAAGCCGACCGGGAGCTCCAAAGAAGCTCGTCCATTCTGCCTTCAAATGGCGGAGGCTCAGGTTCCGCATCTGATGCAGGGATTGGCGCCACTCAGCGCCTTTCTCACAGGCACTGATCGTGGAGTTAAAGGTCACGACATCACCTCGGTGGGAGAGGCCGCCAACGACTTTGGCTTCATACCTTTCCTGTTGGCTTCAAGTCGTCATACCTGTTTCGCGTTGAAATGTTGTGAACAATGGGGACCAATGCTCCCGAAAGGTCACCTGATAGGCCACGCTCCTTCAGCCCGTCCATGAGCCGCAAGGCTTCACCCCATTGCCCACACTTTTCACAGGCACTGATGGCCTCACACCCGGGCGCTCGGGGCACTACTAGTAACAAGAAGCTACTAGGGGCTCCTGGCCTTACTACTGGAGCAAGGACGCTACTAGGGGCTCCTGGCCGTACTACTAGTAGCATTCTTACTAATTACTATAGTGACAAGAAGACCTACGGGCGCAGAGCTGTCTCGGCGGTGCGACCCACCCCCAGCGTTCCGTCTCTGTATGACGGCCCGACCCGTTGGGGCGATCGGAGGGGGTCGCCGATCGGTGGGTCGTGCTGAAGGCAACGCGATGAGAATTTTGGCGACTCCAGAAGGAGGCGCCATGAGAAGGAGTCTGACTGAAAGAACCACATGTTTTCCATGGAAAGTCCTGAAACCTGTCGCTACTCTTTTCCTAGCCCTGACATTCCCAGATCAGCGTCCGAGTTGAAGGTGATGATGTTTGCCTGGACTTTGGATCTTGGAAGATCTTCAAGCAAACCTCCGGGACCGGCACGATTCGCTTAATGGCTGGGTTCTTGGCGCAACAAGGAAACAACATCTCTGCATCATTCTGCATCTCTGTTTTTAATGGTTTAGCAGTTTAGCTATGCAGTTTGTAACCCCACTCCCCATTGTACTCTTCTGTGCCCAGAAACGTAAGGCCCGATGCCATTGGCCACCCTTTTCACAGGCACTGACCACGGAGCTACAGGTGATCACTGTGGGTTGCAAACGGCTTCCCAGCAGCGCTTGGTATAAACACATGGCCTGTTGCCATTGCCCATCTTTCGCGCATGCCTTGAATGGGTTTGAAAATCATGTTCCGGTGATGTGCATTGTAACCACGATTTATTTCCAAAAAGAACAATGCCAAAGAAAACCCTTTTGCTCAGCACGCTCAGGATACACTGATGACGGCATTGTAGGTGATGATGTCGGGCACCTTCAGCGGTGGCGAGTATCTCCAGACATTAGCGAGTTGTGGAAACGTGTGGATCATTCTGCCCCTTGGAGCACTCTTGTTCCGTTCGTAGCTTCTTGCTCCGTTCGTAGCGATGCCAGGAGCCCCTAGGCCCTAGTCAGTGGCGTCCAAACATCTCACAACGGTCCGTGAGATCTGCCGTCTCCTGCCGTCCGGAAGGGGTGGGTGTTTGCTGGCGATGTCTCGCTCCCTCTGTAGAGCTACGTCCGGTTGGAAACCAAAAGATATGGCAGAGCAAACAAGATAGAATGCGAAAACAACGAAATCATGAAAGTGTTGTTATATGAAGATATCCATGGTTTCCCAATTCAAGAAATTGCATCAGTTTTGAACAAACCCGAATGCAGGCACGGCAAACCCCACTTGTGAGGAGTCCGTATTGGCGTGGGGATGGGTGTCCAATCAGATCCCTTCAGCACGCGCCCGAGAAAGCTACGAACAGGGCTCCTCTCATCGCTACGAACGGAGCAAGGACTCCCCCGAGAAAGCCGCATTAATAGTTGCTTTGAATCACAACTTTAAGATACGCTAAGACATTTCTGTAATGAGCCTTGTGGACTAAATGACCACCCACCACTCACGACTTGATTCGTTGTAAGCTTGTTGGAGCAGTAGTTACAAAAGTCTGGTCGCTCACCCTGGTTCTCAGGCGTAGAACGAAAGCACTCAAGTACAGGAGCGGAAATCGCTGCAAAGACATGTCAGTAACGCACGCACAAGGCAAAGGTATTGCAAGACTTGGGCAAACAAATGAGAAAAGGCTTGCTCTGTGTTGCTTCTGCCGGCTCTACTCTACGAGTACCTTTGCAGGTTTTATTTAGGCTCGACTGTGACGTGGTGTCCCTTTTTGAGTGGCTCGGTACTGCCGCTTGAGGGGCCATCTGGCAGGTCAACTCTTCCATCAAGAGCATCGCGACTTGCCACTGCCCAGCCTTCTCCTCAGTGGCAAGTGGCATCGGCTCAGTGGCCTCGTGGCCTCAAAGCTGAACGAAAAAAGCTCGGTCCAACAGGGATCAAGGGATGAAGTTGGATGAAGTTGGCTCAGTCTCCGTCGCGCTGATCGTGGTGTTGTAGGAAATCACACTTCCTGGAGATCGCGGGCTTGGAGAGCACCTCATGTGAGCCCATCTTGTGGACATGGCTTGGATAAATGCCCTTGCCGAACTTGCCAAACATTGCGCTTTCTTTGTCGGGGTGGTCTTGAGGTCTTTAATCATTCAGAATGATCGCTGGTCTGTAGGCAGGGAAATTGATCCTCCTGGTCTGTGGTATTTCTGTCACCTCACCCCAGCTCACCATCTCGCACGGAATGTCCTTTGAGTCTTGAAGCATTCAGATGTACAAGCAAAGCCTTGGGTTCACGTGCACAGCCAGTCAAGGGCACTCCATGCCTTTGCTCCGTCTTTGGATGTTTCCTGGAGTCCTCCAGGCATGAACCCGTCATTAACTTGCGTGTGTCAACAAAAATGAGAAATCATCTCCAGAGCTTCGACGCAAAATTGATAGTCCATGTGTATTCAGTGGGCACATCCACTGAGCACCACTGGGCCGAAGGATTTCTTCGGCACTATGGCTGCTTGCCAAAGAACTATGGCTGCTTGCCAGTCTTCCCCACAAGCATTGATGGCAACATTGTAGGCCTCAGTGATGTCCCAGCAATTGATCTGATAGTCTAGAGTCACGAGTCTATATATATAATATATAAATCAATTGGAGCAGTTTGGCATCGCCATGTCTTTGGGGCCTATCGTCACAGCCCTGAGAAGCTGAAAGGTATCTTGGGTTAAGCTGGTTAAGCTTCTAAGAGCTTCAGGGCGCGAACCTGACGATCCATCGGCTTGCTGGCACAACCAGTTGCCCAAAGCGACGTCTATTTCTTTCAGCCCAATTTGCTACAAAATGCACCAAGTCCGGCTTTTTGCGACATGGCCGAAAGACCAGTGGAAGTGATCTTGCATTTGGGAAGCCAGTCGCCCCTCATACCAACGATGCCTCCTCGGGGCTTTTTCATTCGGTCTGGCATCACCCGACATCGGTCCGCGTCCGGGTCTTCACGTCGGTCACCGGGCGTCGCTCGGGCGTCGGGGTACCGTCCGGATGACCGCACCGAGGTTCAATCACATCTGCCTCGATCTTCTTCTCTTCCATGGCCTCAGAGGAGCAAGGCTCGGTGGATCCAAGAAGCAACAGTCGACAGGTAGCTGACCCACAGATCAGGCTACGCATCACATAGTCTTGAAGATACGTGTGCAAGGGACTCCAGCATGCTGGTCGCATGTGAGGAAAGCAAAGCAGGAACACAGGCAGCTGGAGCGCTTCAGCTTGATTGGCTGCAAGGGAAGCTGGTGAGTCAGGTGCTAAAGACAAGACCTTTCCTTAACAAGACTAGACTTTAGCTGTGAAATTCCAGGTGACGGGATCCCGCCTGTGCCGGGTGTAAAACCGCCCCAACAGCAGCACCAGACTTCCGCATAGAATGCACTCTCGAGGTGTCTAGTCCAAGAAAGCTTAACTCAGCTAAAATGATCACCCGAGGTTCCGGCAAATGATGGTTCAAGCTAACGGAATTTGGATCCAGGGATTCCGGCGACCCCAAAAAATAGCCTGAGTGATCTGATCATGCTCTTCGTATGCAAAAGGATAAGTTTCCCTAAACATCTACAGTAGGAACCAAACGATTAGCGCGAGCGCTGCGCTTCTTCAAGGAAGCTCCCCCCCCACCGCCGTAAGCTTCCTTGAAGAAGCGTGGGCTATCCTGCGTCCTAGCTAGGAGCTTCCTATTGCTAGGAGCAAACTACGCCCTTCATTAAGTAGGCACCTACTTCATTAAGGGCGGACTCTCAGTTTGGTGAGAAACCTGTCCGCAACGTCCATCCCCGGACACGCCGTGGGGCGACGATCGTCCCGGACGCGCGCTGCCTCCCAAAGGTTCAAGGCTTTGGACCATTGCGATCGTTCCAGCGCGCTCAGGCATGAGCTGTAGGAGATCACCTCAACTGGGAGATCAGCAGTTGGTTTCACAAGCCAAAGTCAACAAAGCTGGAGGATCAAAGCGGACCTGCAATGTCCGCTGAGAAACCTCACCATTCCGCCTCACGCGAAGCTTCGGTCCCGGCTATCCGGGCCCCCGCGGGCAGCCGGTCATCTTTGTTCTAGTAATCTGCTCAAAGTGAGGCAAGGCCACAAGGTTCGGGGACCTAAACCAACCTCTTTTGGTACGGAGACTTGAGATGATCTGACAGTTGAACTTTCGCTGACTTGACTGGTGATACATGCCAGCCTTGTGAATAACAAAAAAGATGCCGCACATTATATCATCTACAGTAATTATATACAACATGATATATATAATATATACTAAAACTGCCAGGTAAGATCAAGAGGATTCTCAAGTGAGAGAATCAAAGGTCTGGCAGAGCGAGAATACATTGAAAAGTAATGCACCCTCTAAGTCAGGCACTGATGATTGCAACGTCGATTCCAGGTCTTTTAGGACGGCCAAAGCACATTGCCACAGACTCCCTCGCTGGCAAGCTGCTATGAGGCTATTGTAGGTCACCTCCGCGGGAACGCTCACGCGTGAGCTGCGCCAGCTCTGCTCGGGAGCAGGAGCCACAGCAAATGCTCCAACAAAGTGAGCTGAGGTTGTGTAAAAAAACCTCTACCTTATTTCTCTATACCACTTTTGACGTTATCGTTGTTGTTCTTCCTTATCGTTTTACAGCACTTTGACTAACTGCCAGACTGCAACAAATGTAGTATAATGTAGTGCGTGCACTACTTGCAGGCATGAAGACATTAAGCACACTTCATTCCAACTACGCCCATGTGGTGGCCTGCCTACGGAAAGGTGTTTTAGGTTCGCTGTGCTATCGTTTTTTTTATCGTTTTGTTATCGTTTTCATGCCTGGTGCAAGTTAGAAAACCATGTGGCACAACAATGCTTTAGCCCAAGGCTACAGCCGTCCAAGCCCTCCCAATTTGGAACAGTAGTAGGTTTTCTGTTTGTGTGTGCACTCGTTTTCGTCACACCACGTCTCGCATGTCAAGGGTGTTCCACAAGAGTCATCGGGAGTTATCGTATGTGTTTCTTCCTTATCGTTTTACAGGGGATTGAGTAATGCTTCCAGAAAAACGGACATGCAAATACTAATTTCTTACATATTTTCATACAATCTCGCTGTCTGCCACGGGGGACAAAACCCATTTGATTTTTCTTGGCGACAAAAAAAGGGGACGACCCATCTCCGAGAGCTTTCTGTCTCGCTTGGACCTAGAGCTGGGACCCGAGACAAATCGACAAACGAGAGACAAGCACACTGATGGGGGCCTCGTTGCTGCCAGCAGCCCAAAGAGTCAAGGCCTCTTGCCAACGAAGCGCCTGAAACACGTCAGATTACGCAGAGAGCATCCGTTCGACTCTCTTGGAGAGATTCGAAGTCTCTTCAGTTTCAGTTTCAGTCATTGAAAGTGTGACATGTCGCTCTGAAGGTCTCATGTGACCCGCCAAAAAACACAGAGAAACGAATGCACACCTAGCGGATTTGAGACTCCGCAGATCTCCAGTGGCCTATCTCCAGTGCCTGTGTTACACGGCCCCCAAATCAAACCTCTGCCCGACGAAGTCACTGAGATAAATGCACGCAGTGGGTTCACAAAAGTGTGTGTGTGTGTGTTGTTGTGTGTGTGTGTGTGTGTTTGTATATCCAGGATCAAATTAAGTCTCAGTTGACTCAGTGCTCTCTTGCAGAGCGGCCTTGGCGTGTTCGCCAACTAGCACCTTGAGACGCATACCATGGCAGCTCAAAGTGCTGGGTCTACCTCGACCACAAAGATAGTAGGTCTAGTCTATGTAGGTCTACTCTGCTTGAGCTGCCCCAAACGCAAAGCTTCCTGTTCGGTCACAAGGCACGTGTTGCTGGCCTTTTGCTCTAGATACAAGTAATTAGGATAATTAGGAGTTTCAGCTGCTTATCAACCATGTGTTCTTTTCGCCTTGTGGCCTTGTGTCTTTCTCGCATGAGAGTCATGACAGTCGATGACAAAGGAAGGCTCATTTGCCAAGCGGGTGGGCATGGAGACTGGAGACCCCGCGCACGTAGTTCGGAAAGGAGCTACTGAAGCGTGAGCAGATCTTGCTGCCCACCTCTTCACAGACCCTGCTGCAATCCATTGAGCCAAAAGCCTGAGTGTAATTCGACCATGATATTTGCTCATGTGGGTGTTTGGGCACCGTCACGCAGAACTCGCTGGCCCTAGAGGGCCATGTGCTTAGAGGGGTTCAAGAGGTTTCTGCTGTGGCTAGGCATCCGTCAACCAGTCAACCCGAGTCAACCCTTTTCCGCTCCTCTCCACCCACGGGGACAATCACCGGCAGGACCTGATGAGGCTCAATTCTGACGAGCGTCGCAACCGTCTTGTATGTATGTATATGGGTAGAACGTGTTTCACCGCCCTACACCAGTGTTTCTTACTCTTGTAGCCATTTTAGCTTACCTGACTTGGCCCTCAGCTGTGCTTCTGCAATGGACCTGAATACACTTCGCCAGTAGATCAGAGATGAACATGTTCAGTCCAGTGCAGCCTTCCAGAAGCACATCATGTACGCTCCCTTATCCCTCAGTGATGTCCAAGATCTACAGGATTCAATGGCTCTGAGGGCTTTGATGGTGTTCATGCATGCTCAAGACATGGAGGTGCTCACGCTGCAAGGCCTGATGCACACTACGCAGGGGTTACTTAGACAAGTACCATTTCTGGGTTCACACGGCATTTTCGCAAGACTGCTGCTGTACTGTTGTTCTGGCCTTTCCTGGTGTCACAAGTCAGTCACTGATGGCTTTCTTTGCATTTCTTGGTTTTCATGATGTGCAATGAAAATTTGAAGAGGATAAGAATGGCAAAGTGGCAGAATGTGTTGTACAAACTAATCTAGGAGTTGACATGAAACTACCCAATGTCACTTATGATGGAAGCTCTTCAAGTACATGCTGCCTGTGGCTCTTGGCCGGCAGTGACGCTGTCTTAGACACAGGTCGGGAAAAATACCTTGGGGCGACCCCATACGTTCCACCGATGTATATTGTATATATACTGTATACATTATTATACATGTACCCAGGCGAACTCGTAAGTCCCTCCTTTCACGGCAGGTAGCACTGTTGTTTGTGTGTCTTTCTCATCACCCGACAATAGGATCAGGATCATTGAAGCATGTCATACGAAGGATTGGGATGCCTGCACCTTGCCAGGCCAATTGCACAGCAATACATGCTGTAGAAGGATGTCCAAAAGGCTCTCCAAACGCCCATCGCTTTTAGGTTAAAGGCCACTGCAGTTAGGTTGAAGGCCATGGCTTTTGAGTTGGAGGTCATCGCAGTTAGGTCTCCGCCATCGCAGTTAGGTTGGAGGCCATCACAGTTAGGTTCGAGGCCATCGCAGTTAGGTTGGAGGGGTTGGAGGCCATCGACTTTAGGTTGGAGGCCATCGCAGTTAAGTTGGAGGCCATCGCAGTTAGGTTGGAGGCCATCGCAGTGAGGTTGGAGTCCATCGCAGTTAGGTTGGAGGCCGTGGCTAGTAGGTT